GTTTTTTGAAAATCAATGTCCACAACTTTGACACAGCTATATAGCTGTATATCTCCCATTCTACCTGGTGAGAAAGATCAAGAAAATGGATGTCACAAGATACCAAATCACTTTGTGGACCCCCTGCAACTTGGTATGAAGTCAGGAGTAATTGCCCCCAAGCAAGGCAAGTCTCCATTCACCCTTACCTCAGGATGCCATATGGGATTTGATCATGCTTATAGTTGTCAGAAGAAGAGCTTTATGACCCAACCATCTGCTGCCAAAGCTACTGCAGTTGTGGAAGCAAGCAAAGGTTCATTACCAATCTCATGGAGCCATAAGTCTTGTCCAAAATCCAAGAGGTGCTCTCTGTCCAGCATGAACAGCGATCCTTGCCTGTATGAAAAATCCTGCTGATATTCCCAATGGCCATCTACTACTGATGGTGGCCATCTAGTAGCTAGTGACCTTCCTTATTGCAGTAGCAACTTTTTTTGGAACCCTAGGGCCCCACTACACATGCCCCTCCATCATATCCAGCCAAATCAATAGCACGAGAGGCATCTGCAGCATAGCCAGGTCAGCTTCAGTGGCCCCAAAGAGCTCAAATTTCAAGACTGATCTCCTCCAACTGGATGTTCAGTTCATCTGGTTGCCTACACTGCCTGATCTGCATGATAGAAAGTTTTGTCGCATTCTTCTTTAAGGGATGTGAATCTCAATGTCTTGCTCTCTGTGAGAAAAATGAGGAAGAAAGTCACTTTTTATCCTCACAGTGAGATTTTTGGCAACACCCACCCCAAGAAATTTTATCAGAAATCTTGCAGATTTTGTTGAAAGTTTTCATGCCACCTCTCTTTGCCCAGTGTGAAGCCTGCAATGGCTGGTGTCTGCTTCCCCCCACAAGTGACTCCTGCTTTCTTTTTCAGGATGTAGTGCTCTCTGTGCTCTGCTCCTTGTTTTCCTCAATGAAGCCTCAATGAATAACAAAGTTTGGGTGCACTAGAGAAGTGTTTATATGTCTACCAAGCAGATGGTGAATGGAGACTAGCAATGGCGTAGGGCTGATGCTGTGCATTCTAGAAGCCACCAGGACCTCTAGGAAAGACCATGAAGTACATAGAAATTAACACCAACTTTCTGCTGGGACCCTGGTGAGTAAAGACGAGGGGTATTCGTATTCACATACGAATAAGAATATCCCCGCAAAGCTGGACTTAACGAGGGTTCAGCCCCAGAGGTGGCAGCCTTGGTCAGCCTTCCAGTCACTCCCGGAGCCCTGCTCTCTTTCCGCTCATCTAGCCGACTCCAGGCAGGGGGAGGGAGGATGAGTCTCCCTGTATGGCTGCTGAGTGGCTAGATGAGTGGAAGGAGAGTGGCGCTCTGGGAGCGATTGGAAGGCTGACTGGGGCTACTGCTGCCGCTGGACACATGAGTGGAAGGTCGGTCCCCAGGGGCTGCCTCTCATTAAGTCCAGCTGGTGAGTTAGGGAAGGGACCCTGATTTTGATTGGTGAATTATTTCATGTATTTGCAAGCTTTAGTTTTTCAGAGGGGCAGATTGGCTTACAGTAGATGTTTTGCTCCCATTCAGCCAGTGGCTTTCATTCCCAAATTATTTTTATCTTGAATGGCAGTTTGACAGAGTTAGAGATGGATGCAATAATGCTTCTATTTAATGTTGTTTTGGGTAGATTTCAACTTGTGTAACCTGATGATGTGGACAGATTACTTGGTTTGAGACTCACCATATATATGCTATTTAGATACATATCGTTTCTTGCTTTTAAAGTTTTCCAAGATTGTGTTTATCATCTAGAACAGTGGTTCCCAACTTTTTTGGTCCACGGACCGGCTGGGGAAAGCGGGACACCCCCTACAGCTCATGAGCATGCGTGAATGGCAGTGCAGCACTTGTGTGGGCACACTCGCGCATGCGCATGCGCGAACAGCAGCATCGTCATTTGTGCATGTGGACAAGAGCACACCCGCCCGTACAAGTGCCATGCCATTGTTTGCGCCTGCGCACGAGCACGCGCACAGGCACAAACAGCCTTTGCAGGGGTGAGTGCATGCGGGGGTGGGTGGGAGGTCTGTCTTCGCAGCCCGGTTGGGCTCAGGCCAGGGACCGGCAGCGGGCCACGGGCCAGGGGTTGACGACCTGATCTAGAAAACTGGTTAATGCCTCTCTGATGTAGGGTTTAGCCTTCACCATTATACTTACAAAGGGTAAAGCTTTGTTTTTGTTTTTTTAAATGAGCCTCTGATTCTAAATCAATTTTGCCAATAAATCTTAAGTAAAACATTGGAATATGTGATGGTATCTTGCCTCAAGGTACTTTCTTAGATGATACTGATTATTTGGACTGCTTTTATTTTGGTTTCTCTCTTGGTGTTTGGACAGAAACAGCCTGGTCATCTTGTTAGATGGTATATGAAACCCTGATCTTTTTCCTGGTCCTATCAGGCCTCTGAAACCATTGACCAGCCTGTCCTTCCAGAATACCTGTCCAAGGTAGGATATGGGAAGCATGGTTTTAAGCAGTCTTTCTGGAGAGATAGAAAGCAGTGTGTGATACTGAAAGACTTCTCTTCCACTCGTCTCAGCTTTTGGAGTACTTTTTATTTACACCCATTCTTTTGAGATCTTCATGAGGCCATTGCTAGAAATAATCTGGCAGTTGCTTTGCAGCAGCATCAATATGCAACTGACACCAAGCCCTATTTTATTTTCCTCTAAATTGTCCCAAGGAGTTTGTAGAAATTCTGGTCAGTTGTCTAGAAACATGGATTAGAGTAAACAAGCTCAAATTTAATCCAGCTAAAATTGAGTTACACATTGATCTGAATGGAGGTGTAAGACTGGTGTTGGTGGAATTATGTTTCCACTGAAGGTTGAAGTGTATAGCTAAAGCCAGTGGTTCCCAACCTTGGGTACCCAGGTGTTTTTGGACTATAATTCCCAGAAATCTTTGCCAGCACAGCTAGTGGTACTTTCTGGGAGTTTTAGTCCAAGAACACCTGGTTGGGAACCATTGGTTTAGGGATTATCCTTACCCTTATGCCATCTCTGACAGTGCAGTGGCATTTATTATGGTGGGGCCATTAGTCAGCTTCAGCTTATTCACTTGCGTCCTTATCTTTAGGTGTAGCTTCCTTTCTTTCATGTTCTGGTTATATCCACACTGTAATGCAGTCAACATGAGTGTGCCTTCCAAATTCGGAGATGGGTTCAGAAGCTTCAGCTGACACAGAGTTTAGCCATCTGCTTGCTTGTGAATGCTAAGCAATCGGAGTGAAAAATGTCAGCTCTACACCAGCTTTACAAGTGGCTAGTGTATATAGAGGGCCCAGTTTAAAGTGTTTGTAGTCCCCTTTAAGCCTACATCCCAAACATGGTTTGGGATCATATCATAAAACACTCAAATGTTGACTGTCACTATTCTTTTAAGGAACATTCTGTGCTTCTGTTTCAGTTAGCCATATTCTATATTATATTGTTTTGACATTCTGTTTTATGAGGTTTCATCCCCAATTGTAGTTCTAAAATATTTTGATAAATAATGATTGTCAATTGAATAATTGAATCGTGGAGAAACTGTGAACCATATTAAAAAATGATAACAAAGCCACTGCTCGTAGAGTCATAATCAGAAACTTAACTGAGTGTAGCATTTTTTCTCTAAATGGAAGAGTTTGCACATTTCAGCAACATCTGAATATCGTAGTCAGAAATGGAAAAAATGCCATGGAAGTACTTGAGGTCTTGTAGTTCCACACTTCCACATCCAGGTGCATGCATTTAGCATCATCACACCCCTATCTGGCCACAGTCAAACCATAGGAAAAATGTGATGTCATGCAAATGAAACAATAATCAAAAGAAACAAAATGGTAATTTACCTAACACTACAGTACTCTGAAAATTCACTATGGAAAATTCTTCAGTACAATATGGGATGTTGGCAATAAGTTTTCCTTTCAGGTACTCAAGATGGGAGCATAAATTGAAAGCTCTTGTCTAGACCTCTAAAACTACAGGGGTTTTAAATATTTTCCATTTAATTCAATCAAGTGTGCAGTTGGTTTAATCATGAGATCAAATGGAGGCTGCAACCTAAAAATTAGAAGAAAACTGAATCTTGGAAAGGCAGTGGAAAGGAGCTAGAAAAGGTTCTTAAGAGTCAGGACATATCACTGGAGACCAGAACCAAGATCATCCATGCTACGGTATTCTTAATTACTATGTACAGATATGGAAGCTGCACAGTGAAGAAAGCTGACAGAAAAAAAAAAGATTCATTCAAGATATTGTTTCAGAGGAGAGCTTTAAAGGCACAGTCAACTACAAAATAGAATAAAAAATTAATTACTTGAAATCAAGCCTTTTGCTCAACAAGTGAAAATGTCTACACTGAGGTTATTATGCTTTGGGCATATCACAAGACTGAACACACAGGAAAAGGAAATGATGCTGGGAAAAGTTGAAGGCAGTGTACCACAAAATTGATCAAAAACTTAAAAAAAGAAGAGGTTGCAGTAACTTTCTGGAAAATATCAGAAAATCTATCTAAATCAACTACGAAAGACTGTGTATAGAGACTGCCTTAAAAACCTGACAATATGGTACTTAGTATTTTGCTTAATTCCAGCTACAACACTTTGAAGCTGGATGACTGTCAGTGGCTGAGAGATGAACCTAAGAACCAAATTCATCAGAATACTCATAGGGTATCTATGCAACTGAAGCTGTCCTTCTCTGTTTTATGTAATTTGTAACTAAAACATTCAAAATAAAGGAGCTAGAAATTTTTAATGAGCAGCTGTGGTCTATTTTACAATACTACTATTTCAAGCTACTAATTTTTGTGTTATTCAGCATTCTCCTGGAGGTCTTTTACTATATTCAAACATCCACCTGTACCCAGAATAACTTCCCAATTTATTTAATTTTTGTGAAGCCCACATGTTTTTAATCTTCATGTTCAGAAAATATAATAAGTATTATTTTTGTTTTAGCCATGTCCTTTTGGGGTACGTGATTTTCGGGAAAAACAATGTGCAGACTTTGACAATATGCCTTTCCGAGGAAAATATTACAACTGGAAACCATATACAGGAGGTAATATACATTTTGTTAGTCCTGTGTGTGATCTAGCTCTGTGTCCCTCATGTGGAAGACAGGCTGCAGAAGTCTGCCATTACAAACCTTGAGACGGGTTACGTGTTGCTAATGGTGTCCCTATCCAAGGTTGCTGAGTTCAGTCTGTTCCAACATTGTGACCTGGGTATCATTTTTTTTATTTATTTTATTTTATTTTATTTATATCCCACCTATCTGGTCAGTTAAGACCACTCTAGGCGGCTCATGTGGGTGGAAGATACTGCTATTGTATGGCAACTCTTTGCAGGCAAGTACAGTGGTACCTTGACTGACGAATGCCCTGACCTACAAACATTTTCAGTTACAAACAGCTCTGGACACTAAATAATACTTTGAGTTACAAATGGAGATTTGACTTACGAACGAAAAAAACAAAACACTTTCCTGTCCTTTTTTGACCTAAGTTCATCTTAGCTCAAAAGAAGAAAAAAGAAAAATTCTCCCCCTAGTGGTAGAGTACGGATTAACTGGCTTTGCATTAGTTCCAATAGGAACTAATGCTTTGACTTGACTTACAAATCCTGCCTTTGACATAAGGACAAACAACAGCCAGAACGGTTTAATCGGTTTTCAGTGCATTCCTATGGGAAATGGTGCTTTGACTTACGAACGTTTTGACTTACAGCCACCATTCCAATACGGATCAAGTTCGTAAGTCAAGGCACCACTGTACTTACTGGGAGTGTCTGCATTCTCACTCTCTACATAAATTGCTTTATCCAATATGCCCAATCTCAGTGGTCTACTTAGGCAGGTGAATGTTTAGGATTACTAAAAAGTTACAAATAAGACATACTCTTTAGTTCCATTTCAGGTAAAGATGATATAAAACTTTGACTTAAGGCAAGTTAAGTCTTTAACTCCATATTTTGTGCTGTCTTTGCTTGTGACCAGTTTGAAGAACTTGATAACTTTTTTCAGCAATCCCAAAAAAGCATTACCCAACCCCAGACTTTATTTTGTATGTGTGTGTTTTATGTGTCCCAGTCTTTTGCACTGCCGATACTATTTTTTTTCAATATCACAATTAAAAAATAGTAAGGGATAAAAATATGATAAAAATAGCTTTTAAATCTAGTCTGATGACAAAATAAATAGAATACAAATACCTTTGGAAGAAATGAAGTAGAACTAATGTATTTATGTAAATATCCTCTGATCATCTGTCATTAATAACAAATATACTCCAGAATCTCTTCATACCCACAGGGTTCCATTCAAAAATCCTTGTCACGAAGACAACATTTAATTCTGTTCAATTTAACACAATTTGTTAACTGACATTATTGATCTTAATTCCAAAATCTCTAGTACAATCTGTGCAAACTACACAAGCCTTGTTTGATATAAGTGCAGCTAAGTCAACAGCATCAAGAAAGATGGGCTAAGCACAGAAGTTGAAAAAGAAATAATGCATGTGATCAGAGAACAAGGAAATAACTATTTAGGGACACATTTATTTAATTTATTTAGTGACACTCATTAGATCTTCAAAATTAGCAAGTGGAAAAGTGGGACTTTTGTTAAATTTTACGTTGTTAATAATATGCTGTTAAGAATGATATTTTTAAAATGTTTTATTTGTCTAGGTGGAGTTAAACCATGTGCATTAAACTGCCTGGCAGAAGGTTACAACTTTTATACTGAACGTGCCCCTGCAGTGATAGATGGAACACAGTGCAATGCAGATTCACTGGATATTTGTATCAATGGTGAATGCAAGGTGCCATACCTCATGTATTTCAACAATGTTCATTACTAATAAACTTTATATAAACTTTATATTTATAAAACATTTCCCTATCAACAGCTTCCTCTAATAATATAACTGCCTATGGGAAACCATTGTTACCCCCTTTTTCATGGGGGTAGTTTGCAAAATTTCCATACTAGCCATCTGAATAATGAACCTATGGTGGTGATTAATAGAACAGTTGTAATGTTGACATTTTCTTGAATACTATATACAGATGCTTCGGAATTGCATCCCAGGTGTAACTGGTTTTTTTAATGAATAACATACTTCTTGTTTATGAAACTTCAGTCATGTGACAAAATTGGCAAAATGCTAGAGTGTACTTTCCCTGATTATTAAACATATGCATAGTCTGATCTAAAGACATCAACCACTTAGAAATGGAGAGAATAATGGTATGCCAATACATTGCCATAAAGCTTAACATTATGACCTGACATGATGAATGAAAGACAAATGAGAATTTACAGTAGTTTTGATCTGAATAAACTTAAGAATTTTATTGATTTGACCAAATGTTCCTAAAAAGAGAACCAGTGTTTTCTACAGAGGCTACAAGAAACTCTTTAACTGAATAATTATTCTAATTATACTTATTTTCAGCATGTTGGGTGTGATAATATTTTGGGATCTGATGCTAAAGAAGACAGGTGTCGCGTATGTGGAGGAGATGGCAGTACCTGTGAAGCTATTGAAGGCTTTTTCAATGACACATTGCCCAGAGGAGGTAAGTGTGAAAGCATAGGTCACAATTGTGTTGAAATTCACGTCTCCTGTGCAAGTCTTAACAAAAGAACAATAGCTGGGGCCATACCCCAGTGCATTTGACCCAGCAATTAAGTTAGATGTGACAGTTCTTCTACTGGTGTTCTTGCCGGTTTCTTGACAGACTGTTTTGGTACTAGCTAATGTTAAAGTTGTAGTCAATCAACATTTAATTAGTTCTCTTTGGTTTGGTGGACAAGATGGACGCAAATTGAGATATTACTCTGTTATCCTCACCATCATTTCTTACTTCTGAGGTTGAAGTGAACTTTTTTGCTCCTTTCAAATCTGTTACTTAAATCATAAAATCATATTTATATGTTTGTTTCTTGTTGTAAGAGATACTGTTCAGTCATATCCTTATAGCTATTAACAATCAAATAGCATTACTTTTGCCTTGTAGGTTACATGGAAGTGGTTCAGATTCCTAAAGGTTCTGTTCACATTGAAATCAAAGAAGTGGCAGTGTCAAAAAACTACATTGGTAATTTATTTATTTCATTATATTATATTTTATTTATTTTATTTATAAACTGTCCCAGTAGTGAACTCGCACTACTCTGGGCATTGTACAAAAAACGAAACTCAGTACTCCCACCCACTTCATTCCAGTAATAACATAAAATGATGATCAAAATGGTGAGAGGAGGGTCTTAATTCAAGTGTTGAAATGATAAGGATGACTGGAGTAAAATAAGAAAAATAAGGGACATAGCTGATAGAATATAGTTATATAGAGAAAATAGATATTCTTATATTTGTCATTTTAAGATGTTTTTACTCCTTTTTTTAACAATTGAGAGTTAGCCTTCCACTGGTTTCTTGCCTTCAGAGAACTCCATATAAAATTCAAATAGAATTTATTGCGACTTATGGTCTCACTACAAATTATTATTGTTTCCAGCATTATGTATCACAGGGCATGAAGATTTAGTGTAACTTTTTTTTACAATTTCTGAAATGTAATTACAGTGTGGTAAATGCAAATTATTAAAATAGCTTCATATCATCTTAAGAGTGGCCAGCAGAAATGGAATCGTTAGCAGAGATGTTGGAACTAAGGCTAGCATGAAGCAAATACAAGAAGCTCCTTGTCCTGAAAGTTAGAACTTCGACTGCAGCCTCCCCTATGAGTAGGACTGTAGGGCAGAGAAATTTTAATAGGGTAATAGAATTGCTGGATAGCTCAGTGGTTTAGATATCTGGCTGCAGAGCCAGATATTGGGAGTTTGATTCCCCACTGTGCCTCCTTGACAGGGATTGGACTCGATGATCCATAGAGTCCCTTGCAACTGTGCAGTTCTGAGATTATTATAGGGCAATATCAAATTTAAACAAAGCACTAACAAAAGTATTTGTCTTCATGGCATATGTAAGCATCAACAGAATTCATTTTAATGTCAGGGCTCAGAAACAGTTCCTGTTCCCAGATAAATGCTTAAGTATTGGCAGGCAGATTTAAGAGCCAAAAATAACCTGAACTATGCACCTTTTGATGGCACCAGATTATTTGGAAACTCTCTGGAACCAGTTCTAATAGAAAAGACTAAAAGAAGGCACTCCCCAGTAAATTAAACAGGGGAGTGAAAATGTCTAGCAAATGTAGTTCTTCTTTCTTTTGTTCCTTATGATCTACATACCAACCATGAGATAACAGAGATTCATGATTTCAGTGGACAGGCAGGAAACACAAGTCTATGTTTCAAAATCATTCTTATCAAAAGAACAATACAGCCAGCAATTTTGAATCCCAGAATAAGTAATAATCTGTATGACACCAGACTAAGAAAATGTCGGTGTTTTCAGGGTACACAATAGCACCTCTAGACTATGTACCATGGACAAAGGCCGAAACTACACTTTCCAGAAAACCTGATTAAATCTATTGTAACTCCAGTCACAGCATATGATGCAAAGTTGTACAGCAATTCAAAATGGTGCCCAATCTAATTCTTTTCTGCTCTAGTTTATTTACTTTTTAGATACCCTGCACTTTTGGGTGGTACATGACCACCCCTTCCCCCCACCACAATATTCTGACCACCCCTTTCTTTCTTTCAACCAACTTATACGTCTATCCTCACTGTTGTGTCTTCAATTTTTTTCTCCTTTGCACCTCTGTTTGCACATGTGGAAGACTGATCCTTTTTAAAAAACCAGTATTTAAAGTCAGACATCTGAAGATTGAGTTTTCTTGTGGTGGATGTCTCTTATAGCAACCATGGCATGTTGTGGCTCTCTGAAGAAATGATAGATCTGGAGATCTTGGGGAGGAAGAGAGTTCAGGAGAGGATGGCTAAATCTCTTCAGTTGCATTTATCTATGCTGGCCACTGAATCCGGTGACAAAGTATTTGCAAAGGTCCAGAAGTAGCCCAGTTTTCCTGTTAAAATGGCAGTGCTAGAGACACTAAGAGATCGGATCACTCACTCTTTGCAAAAGCCATCATCTATCCCTCCAACACTAAAATGGATAAAACAATCTCTACAGAATTCAGAAGGACAGCATGGGCATCCTAATTAAGTATTCAGTGCCCAACTCAGTTATAGTGGAGACAAAGAATAGATGTTAGGTAACAGGCAGATTACACACCACATCTGCCTATAAAAGAAGGAAGAACATTGGAAAAATATTTTTTTTATCAGACAGTGATGGGGATCTGCCTATAAAAGAAGGAAGAACATTGGGAAAATATTTTTTTATCAGACAGTGATGTTTGATATTTATTTGTTTGTTTGTTTGATTTTTACCCCGCCCCTCTTGACAATGTCTACTCGTTGTAATGGCATACCATTACTTTATATGGGAACTAATAGCAAGCCTGCCCAAAGATAAACAATCCTTAGCTCTATTCTTTCAACAAGAGACCTACTCTTTAGCAGCACAACAATTCTTTCAACAAGAGACCTACTCTTTAGCAACACACCAAATCTGCGCAGAGTAGACTTTTGGTCTAGATGGGAAGGGTATAAATCCAATAAAATAAAAATAAACAAATCCATTCAGCCTGCCATGTAATGAGTTGTGATAAATCTAATAAAATAAAAATAAATAAATCCATTCAGCCTGCCATGAGTTGTACAGCAAAGAGTTTGGTGGCAGCTGTAACCTTGAGATGCTATGCTTGTTTGAGACCTTCAGGTATGCTAGATGATTCTAGGTTTTGTACGAAAGTTTTCTTGTAGGCAAAAAGCTCTTGTACAAAAGTGCTTCCATTCAATGGGGATGGACTATTCAACACAAAGACAAATGACTACCTGCATAAGAAAAAAGCTACTGCAAAGACAATGGGTTTAAACACAAATAGCCAAACAACATAACAATATAAGCTATACTGGAAGAGTACTTACCTGTATCAAAGTTTCACATCACCTTTGGATAGACATAGAGCTGTTAAATCTGCTTTTTCTCAGCAACATGACTAAAATAAAGCAGCTGTTAAATCTGCTTTTTCTCAGCAACATAAAATAAAGCAAAAAAACAAACCGTGCTGCTTATATACTGCCCGATAGCCCGTCAAAGCAAACCATGCTGCTTATATACTGCCCGATAGCACGTCAAGGACTCTCTGGGTGGTTTACAAGTTAATTATGCAGGCTACACATCCCCCCCAGCGAGCTGAGTAGTCATTTTACTGACCTTGGAAGAATAGAAGGCTGCGTCAACCTTGAGCTGGCTACCTGGGATTGAACCCCAGGTCGTGAGCACAGTTTCAGCTGCAGTATAGTCTATGTTTAAACTAAGTATAAACAATAATCCTTTTCTGGAAAAGCTGACAGAAAAACTAGAGCACTTTTGATGGGATAGACACCAAGCTTGACAATACCTTCCTTCCCTGCATACCAAGCTTTCAAACTTCAGCTTTGAGCCTAGCACCTTATCTAAACACCTGATGCTCCATTACCTCCAATAAATCAGTTTGATCCATGGTTATGGCATAGAGTTCAATAGACCTCCTCCTATAGGCTGCATCCAGATCATAAGGCTATCCAGAGTTCTCATGGGTGAAGTTGCAGCACGAACCATGTCTCAAGACATCTTCACATACCTAGTAAAAATATGTTGAATGCTAGGGATGTGTTGACTTCTCGCAAGCAGAGGAAGACACTCTATGGGGGACACCTTCACAATCAAATGGAATGGTTGTCTAATGTATATGTTTCCCCTGTTTCCTCTAATGCAATGCACAACAATCAAATTATGTCAGGACAAATCCAATGGCTCATGGCTCATAACTTTGCTGTTGATGTCAAAGGACGGACTCAGTTTTCTAACATGTCACAACTAGACAGTACAATAATCAGACGTACAACAACTCAGTTTGACTCCTTGGCAGATATTTCTGCCAAGTGTTTATTTATTTGTTTATTTATTCTGCCAAGTGTTTATTGCCAACATTTCTGCAGTGTTTATTGTGGCAATAAACACTATTCTGCAGCAGACTAGAAAACCTATAAAACAGGTTGTATGCCTGTAAATGGAAAACTTTTGGAAAATATGCCTCTTCCATTGACGAGCGTATTAACCCTACGTCACTACTGTTCTTAAATTCTTCAATTAAAGTAAGCTGGATTATCTCTTTTATCATTAAAGGTCTACTTAGTGGCTATAGTAGCTCATCCACCAGAAGATTATCTATCTTTTTACTTATTTAAATATCCAACTTTAAAGAGGTTCTTAAAAGTTTTAAAGAATGTTTATCCATATGTAAATCCACTGTTAGAGCCCTGACCTCTTCCTTTGGTCTTGACTCAGCTGATGAAAGCCTCTTTTGAACCTTTAACAACTACAGACCTTAGATTACTGACCTTTGAAACTGCGTTCTTGATTGCAGTTACTTCTCCAAGACAGGCAAGTGAGTTCAGGGCATTGAGATGTGATTCACCATATATCCAGTTTAGCAAGGAAAAAGTCACTCTGTACATTGACATATCATTCTTGCCCAAGTTAATATCAACATTCTATATGTCTCAACCACTGGTTTTGCCAGCATTTTTTTCCATCGCCAAAGTCAGCACTAGAGAAGTCACTTCATATGCTGTATGTAAAGAGAGCCCTTGCTTTCTACTTATCAAGGACTAAAGATTTCTGAAAACATCATGTTTCTTTGTTTGCTATCAAGGTCCTAAAATGGGCTATTTGGTGTCCTCCATAAATTTCTAGAAGTGAATGGTCAAAGCCATTGAGTTAGCCTATGACACTGCTAAGTTTAAGCCTCCCTTGCATATTAGAAATAATTCAACAAGATCTGTGGCAACCTCTACTGCCTTTGTGAAAGGAGTTGATATCCAAAGCATTTGCAGTGAGGTAATTTGGTCTCAACCACTAACTTCTGTTAGTCACTATAGAGAGCTATGAAAAAGAACAAGTTGCTTACCTGTAACTTTGGTTCTGCAAGTGGCTCTCTACATTCACACAACCCACCCACCTCCTCTTTCAGGTCCCACCAACATTAGACAGTCATTTATGGGTGGACATAGAGGGACTTAGGGTCCTTTTATCTGTGCATGTATGTAATATGTAAAGCTATCTTGAGTGCTTTTAAAGGAGAAAGGCAGGATAAATATATTTTAAATAAATTAAATACAATTAGGGAAGAGGGAAGAGCATGCACAATGGAGGATGAGGGAATGAAGGCATGAGGACAAGGCTCTGGAGAGTTTTTTGGAAGCATCTGCACAGGCACAGAGCCCCCAAATTGTATAAATACATGGAGGACCATTTGAAGAATCAGTTACATATTAGGAACATGTCCTTTTTCATGGATTTAAAAGATGCAGCCCTCTCGAACTGTACAACATCTGACGTACATAGAGCCCATGATATAATTTCTTGCTATTTCAATTTTTTGTCCTCTACACAGAATCCAGTCTCATAATCCCAGTGGATAGTAAATATAATCCCTAACACAAACAGATCTCACTATCATGTTACAAAATATGATATAGCACAGTTAGCTGTCTTTTAGGATTTTTCTGTTTCCTGAACCCTACAGTATGTTATAGATTTATCTTGATGTAAGTGGGCCTCAAAACCAGAACCCTGTTACTTTTTTTAACATTTTATCAGTTTTTCACTCTATATTTGATTTGTGCTTGTCAAACATCGTGTTACATGATTTTTTTACAATTATTTGATTTTTACACCTCAGT